TGACAAAAATCCCACAATGGTGAGAGGCCATTTGGTTTCTAGGAGCTAATTTATCCAGGGTATCAGCTTCTACCATGTGGCTGGAGAGATTGTTCCACACCCCTACCATACTTTGTGCAAAGAGGAGACTCGTGTCTTCTGATTTGCTGTTCACGATTGAAGAGCATATGAACATTAGAAGGGCTACAAATGAGCGGAGGCAATTGGGCCAAGCTCATTTCTGGTCCAGTAATGGTTCTGGTGGACTTTATGAAGGATTCTGGGAATTGTGAATTCTTGAACACGTTCTCCGACTCCTGGGTCTCTCACTGTCCATGTGTCAGCTCCTCCTGTCACTCTGCCTGTTAGCGCTGTGCGTCTTTAACAACTCTGCGTGACCCCACTCCTTTCCGGGTCCTCCCCCTGCCGGCCCACCTGTCAGCACCCCCCCTCCTTGCTTCCTGTGACCCCTGAACCCAGAGTGCATCCGAGCCCCAGGCCAAGGAAGCTGGCTGACCCCTCTCCCCTCTCAGACTCGCTTCAAGTTCAGAGCTGCTCCGCTGGAACAGATCTATATATACACTTACACAGCTGCTGTGTGAGCACGCAGCGCTGAAACCCGAGCCCTGGGCATCGCTCCCTGCCGCCCCCTCCCGTGTCCTGCGGTGCCCTGCTCTCCGAGTCTTGTTCCTCCCCGCCAGGAAGCGGAGAGAGAGGTGTGCGTACAGCACGGGGAGGGGCCGTCTGCCTCTGTCGGTTACACAGGACTGTGCAGTGCAGTGCGCTATATGGATTGTGTGATGTTTTGTGTTCTGAACTGATCTTGTGCTGTTTATCTACTCTGTGCTGTTTACCAACCCTGTGCAGTGTGTCTACTCTGTGCAGTGTACCAATACTGTACTGTTTATCTGCTCTGTGCTGTGTACCAACCCTGTGCAGGGTGTCTACTCTGTGCAGTTGACCAATACTCTGCTGTTTATCTGCTCTTTGCTGTGTATATACTCTGTGCAGTGTGTCTACTCTGTGCTGTGTACCAACACTACGTATTGTGCCAGTACTGTGCTGTTTATCTGCTCTGTGCTGTGTACCAACCCCGTGCTGTGTGTCTACTCTCACCAGGAGTGAACGTGATGCTGAGGAAGATCGCCGTGGCAGCTGCCTCCAAGCCAGCCGTGGAGATCCGCCAGGACAATGAGACCTTCTACATCAAAACCTCCACCACTGTCAGGACCACAGAGATCAACTTCACCGTGGGCCAGGAGTTCAGCGAGCAGACAGTGGATGGCAGGCCCTGCACAGTAAGGGAGGGAGGGGCAGGGGAGACAATTAGTATAATCACCAGGCAGTGTGTCTGTATGAACCCCTCTCTCTCAGTGCAGTGTTAATGTACTGGAGTGTCCAGTCAGTCAGTGTGTCTGTATGAACCCCTCTCTC